AGGTCTCCACTTGTGTGAGGGTGGGTTGTTGCATGTCACACTGGACACAGGATGGGGGGGGAGGGAGGAGCGTGTCCATAGTTCTTCCTACAATTGTTAACCCTCCCCCATTTCAGACTCTTGAGGGGGGTGGGCGTGGGGGGGGGAAATCTGTGTTTACTGTACTACTTCTCCATAAAAGGGTTTTTCCCGCTGTGGGTGGCGCCCTCTTGTGTTCACTGGAGAACAGTGCACCGTTACTGCCATGGTGCTCCGTGTTGGGGTCTTCGCGTTGATAAACCCTGGAATGTATAAATGGAGAGGTTTGTGCAATGTGTGTTTCTTGTGAAATGTTATATAGCACACAGACCTGTCATCTTGCTAATGAACATCAGTCCTGTAAAAAGTAGAAAGAAGAAGAAGAAAAAAAAGAGATCTATACCACTCCTGTTGCCCTCACTGTGAAAAAACCTAGTTTACTCTTCGATGTATTGTCCCTTCCTACTCATATCCTGCTCTTGCAAGAGCCCTGAGCGAGGACAAAAATGCGTAGAGGTTTGGGAGACATCTGCAGGATCCACTGGACGACCCTATTTCATGGCCCTGACCTTTTTCTTCTAGCAGGGGAAATCCACCGTAGCGCTGGATAGAGGAATGCAGTGATTAGCTCCACCCATTCAGTTCAGTTATTACCTCTCCCAGGGGGAGGGAGCAGGAGAGCCCAGCTGAAGGCGCAATGCAGTCTGATCCATTGGGTGGGCTATGGGAAAGGCCAGCCGCTTCCGCGTGGCTTTCCCCGAAAACGGCTGGGAGCTTCCGTGCATGTATCAAAGCCCAATTCTCACTGGGAGTGGGCTGCCCCCAACTGTAACAGGAAATGCAACCCTTAATTTTTCTAAAAAATATGGCTACTTTTCTGCCTTCTAAGCTAGACCAGTTATTTTCTCCTGACGTGCTTCCTGCCTTCTCCCCCAATTTTTCAAAACTGGAAGGAAACATCTTGCCTTTTCTCCTTTCGCTGTAATAATAACCATGATCATCCTCATAATAATTGTAAGATGTGTGATGGTTTTCCCCCTCTCTCAACAATTGCACATAAAAGGGAAAGTCACTTTGTTTAAACTCTGTGCCAATGGAATCCAGGTCATTCTGGAGCAGAGGGAAGGAGGGAGGTTGAGAGAATCCAAGAGAGGCTCCGGTCTTCTCCCCGTCCCCTCCCCCGGCTGAAGGAACAAGGGCCATGCGGGAGTCACTGTGTCTTGTGTGTCCTTTTAATATACACTAATGTATAGATTATATATGGGGATCTAAATGTAAAACTGAGCACTGTGCATAAGGGAGAGAAGGTTTCTATAATAAAGATTGTAAACGAGACCCATGATGTGTGAACGCTTCATGTTGACATCAGGATGATGGTTTAAACAGTACGGGATAATGACTAGACAGCATTTGATCTGTGAGCTTAAAATTTTACTTAGTAACTGGAGCACTTTGGGGCTATTTCAGCGTGACTTGCCTTGAGGAATTGATATGAAAATAAAGCAGATAGAAATGTGGCGCAGTGGTTAAAGGCAGCACTGCAGGCTACTTCAGCTGAC